ATGTGATGTGCTGAGAGGCATTATGTTCCCTGCTTTGGCTGACCTGCGGGTGAGCGCTCTTTCAAATCTCATTTAAAACGGAATGCAGGAAATAATAAGCCAATCTTGGAGGTTTTCAAAAGTATGAATCATTTCTGGGTCAAAAAAGCTCTTAACAGGTCGAGGCACAATCCATAGAAATAAAGAAAATACAGCCCTATCACGAGGAAATCAGAAATAAAACAGACTCTTTATTTAGACATTATTTTTTAAAAAGTATCCCCACAGCATGCTGCTATCACCACTGTGTTTGGCTGATGTTTTGAATGGTCTGCTAGGTTTACTGCAATTTATGGGTTAAAAAAGATCTTAAAGGTAAAATCTACAATTTAGAAAAATAACCAAAATTTGTATTAATGACAAAATACCATGAGCTGTCTCTAAAAACTAAATTATATTTTATATGCCAGTGTGAATGGACAACAATCTAGAACTAGTAAATCATAAACAAGTCTAATTTACTATCTAGTTAGTCTGTCTGAACATTATTTAAGTCAAGTTTAGTTATTAATAAAATATCTGCTTTTATTCTTGGCCTTGCTATAACCAGCATATAGCCAGTAATTTGTTTGTTTTTGTGAGAATTTAAACATCTTACTGAATTATTTGATCCAAGAAAATCAATTACAGTTCAGAATCTCTCACTTCTTAGTAGCGCCCTTATCCATTCCATTTCAAGGTTAAAGGCTTTTCCAAAGGGCAGTGGTTGAGCATCAAAAGTCAACCCACTGGTAAGTACATAAAAAAGTGTCTTAAAGTTTCTTATAAAATGCAATTTGTTTGCATTTAGAAAATGTAATCTTTAGACTTACAAGCTCTAACAACCCTACTCTCTAAGATCCAGTCATGCAGTTTCATGTATTTAGCCAAAAATTCACAGTAAAGGTGAATTTTCCTTTAAAGGAATCAGCTTCAAAACGCAGTGCATATAATGTGAGGTCAACATTATATTTCTCTTTGATTCTGTTATGGAATCACAGATACATATGGGGTTAATGCAGAAGTCAAATCCAAGTCTCCTTTAAAGACAATGTTTGGGAAGACTATAACGCCTGAGGAACAGTTCTGATTAGGAAGTGGGAGGAAAACATCCAGGCTCTGTCTTCCCACCCAGAGCACCTTGGCTGCCAGGTGTTCAGCCGGACATCGTCCACCTACATCCGTATCAGTTTCACGCTTCACCTGCTTACCACTATTTTAATGGATAGGAGCTGAGTGACATGGTCTAATTTGTGACAGGGTAACCCTGTGCCAGATGCATCTCGGCACAAGAGCGGCTGAAGAAACAGGCCTTTGAGCGCACACTCTGAACCAGGCCCTGCTCTCACTGCTCCCAGGAATGTATGTGCTTACATTACTGACAAAACTGTTGCTGTGATGAAAAGGGCAATATGAGTGTCTGTGTAATGGAGAGGGTGCAGGCAGTGGTGTTCGCTTTGATGCGAAAGTGTTTAACATGTGTTGCTCTCTGATGTGAAAAGTGCAGAACTCACCTGTTAGTAATAAGGCCCGGCTTGCAGTCCAGAAAGGGCATTTCTCTGCATTCCACAGATTCTGCTCCACCAGGGTGGCGGGTGGGTGTGTGCACAAACTCATACATGCACAAAAAGGTTTTTCTATCACTCTGCAAAACCATCCAATCGCTCATTAGTCAGGAGACACACTCCAGATAGCTTTATTCAACAACTTTGGGAGATACACACAACAAAAGGGGTGATGAGTAGATAAATCCTTTTCAGCTTGCAGAGATAAAAAAGGGTCTCGGTAATTACCGACTCTTCTTTGATGAAATCACAGCCTCAAACAGAACAATGCATGTCAAATCATGTTTGGTCTACTTTTAAAAGAGTGTCTTCTCTTGATATCTGCAAGAAATCTATCCATCCACGTGACAGCAGCAGCAGAGCAGTGAAAAGAATGCAGATGTGACGGTAAAAACATGACTACAAACTTCAATGTGTTCCATTGGGATGTTATATTATAGACCAACCAGAAGTATTGCAAATTCGGAAAAAGAAGACAAGCCCTTTTATTTATAATAGAAACTCATTGGCACCAACAGCCTTAAGAATTCACATGAACAGAGTTCTCCTGTCTGTAACTACTAGCTGTTAAGTCTTTAGAGGTATGTTTACCATAAAACAGATCAGATATACGAAAGTTTTAAAACAGAGTTAGCTCATAAAAATACTATCACAGACTTTGGACATCTTATAGAGATCCTACCGCTCCATCATCTAAAACTCTTAAGAGTAAAGCACAACTGCAACTCCTACCAAGCCCACCCGTCCGCCAGCACTGACACGCCATGGCAGGTCTGGAGGAGCTGCATAGATCTGCAGCTCATTTCTGAGCATGTTTTGACATCTATTAGAGGAATTGTCTGTCACTTGCCTAAAAAAAATAGGAAGTGTCTTCTCCAGTCTGTCACATACTGTGTAAGGGAAATGGCAACCATAGAAGAAAAGATTCTGGTACATCTTTTGCAGAAAACTAACAGAACTATATGTTTTTAGGGGAGCAGGACATAAGAATAACATAAACATAAAAAAATAAACTAGAGAAAGAGCACATTGTTTAGTGTAATAAGTGACACACAAAGCCAAGGCTGCACACTTCTGATCTAACAGACAAAAACTCATTCTATCTTAGTATAGCTACAGGTTCATTGCGGACTGTAATTTCTGAATAATTGTAAAAGTAAAATGAGTAGGAACATTTTAAAATGGTCTCTTCTATCATTGCATATCAGCATAAAAAGTACATTTTGGGCTAAACTGCAAAAACAAATATAAAAAAGTACAAATACTCTTAATATAGTGTAAGTGCATTTGCCCTTAATCTGAACACGTAAACAAGATGGTGTGAAAAAGGAGTGAGTATGGCTGATCTTAAAATAAAATAATTAAATTATATGCACTTCAGATAAGACAATGGAGACATTTGCATATCTTATTTTAAACATAAATTATCTTATTCCATCTGCAAATTGTCTTACCTCCCTAAATCACTGGAAATATATATATATATATATATATATATATATTTTTTTTTTTTTTTTTTACTTTGTGTGTACAGTGGCCATAATAGGAGACCAAGTCCATAGGGACAGTGGCCCCTGTGGGCCCCTGTCTAGAACTGCCCCCTCTGTGATAGAAATGATGGCATCGTCATGCAATGTAAGTTATATTTTCAGCAGAGAAATGGCGTGTGGTCTTGGTAAATGAGAAGATGGGTCGAGCCACGGACAATGGAATCAGGCAGAGGGTAGAAGAAGACTTAAAGGGGGCTAAACTTCCAGCACGACATCAACTCTACATACAGTACAGCAGCAGTGAAATGTAGAAAAATAAATATTATTTCTGATTATGTCACTTGAGAGACCAGTCACTCGTTTAGTAGCAGAAATAAGCCAGGTCACTGCTTACTTGCTGACAATTTCACACTACTGATATCTCCTCAGACTCAAGCATTTTAAATGGATAAAAAAGGAAATGATATTAACATAATGAAAAAAAAAATCACCTCCAGTCTACAGCTTCACATTAGGGTGTTAGGTTTTGGGACATTTTGTCAGCAGTTACCTTGGTTTAGCATGCCTGTTGTAGCAGTCATCACACGAACAGTGTCTTATGCGTTTTTGCAAATGTAATAGTTTGATCCGACACCTAAACATTCACTCCAATCCTGGAAGAGCTGAAGAGGCGCAGCTGATCTGTAGGATTGATTTGACCATCAGACTGAAACAGCACATAGACAGACGGCTTCAACAGAACAGCTTCAGTCCCAGACAGTAACGGTCTGTAAAACATCTAATTAGCTGTTAGCTTCCATCACTCCAAGGAGGAAGTGATAGGATTGTTGTTGTTTTTTAGCAAAAACTGTTATGTGGAACAAAGTAGTAAAAACTTATGAGTACAAAATGTGCCAGAAAATTACTGGAATTTTTTTTTCTACCTGCTCAATAATAGTGATTTTTTATTTTTTTTTATCAATAATAAAGTAATGATGTTTTTTTTTTTTTTTTTTTGTCAGAAAAATGTAGTGTAAATAACTAAAGATCCAAAACTTAAAAAAGGATTCAGTTTGCAAAAGATTTTGGGGTGGAATTTAACAAAATCCAACAAAAAACAAAAACATTTCAGCAAAAAAGCAGGATTGGGTCACTTTCTTTAAAGAATCTTGGTTAATTTAGCATAGATTAAATATATATATATATATATATATATATATATTAAAGAGATTCTGTGCACAGAGGTGCACTATGACTGAAATTAAAGAGGATGATCTTATTAAAAGATATATATTTTTTTTCATAATCAAAAGCCTTTTTGTAAGATTTTTAATTGTGGAAAATGGAAAATCTCCAACTTTATCAAAAAAATTATGTTATGGAGCCAAATATTGTATCAATCTAAAGCAACGGGCGTGCTTATAAAATTAATCCAGGCGCCATAAATGGTCCCCCAGGTGCAACTTCCGGACACCCTGTATTAAAAAAATGGGAGTTATTACAATAAACCTCACAGAAACTCATTTCTTACTTTACTGTGTTGATCATTTAAAGTCCACCATGAAATACAGCCTAGAATCTGTGGCAACACTTAAAAATCCAGACTGCCTTAGCAAAGAAGAACAGACTAAATGTCTGTTACTAGATCTACAAAGCTGGTACGTAGATACAGACTTGCAGCTGTAACTGCAGCACGAGATTTTCTTTTTTCTTTCCCTTTTCTTTCTAACCTGTCAACATCAGCTTTGTTCCTCTGCCAAATGTATGTCTTTATTCAATCATTCAGTACAGCTATTCATACTCCCACTCTCTGTACGGGCTGCAGATGCTGAACCTGGCTCTCATTCCAAAACAGCAGGAGTTTTGAGTCTCCCAGCTCATTAACACAGAGCATTACCTTCAACCCCCACACATTCACACAGGAACGGAGAGAAAAAACGAGAGACAAAGCTTTATGCAATGATTGTATTAAATATATATTTATTGCATTACAAGACACACAATGTGGGCATCTTTGATGGTGGTGGCAGGAAAGAGACGAGCAGCCTGATGATCTAACTAAAGCAGATGAGATTCTCATCGCCTTTTTCAGTCTTTCACTGTTGGTCCTTTAAAATGAGAGCTGTTATAAGAGTGGGGTTTCAGTTTTAGAAAAAATTACACGTTTTCCATGTTGTACTCACCTTAACCATGCCACCATGAATCAGATACGGAGACCTGAAGTCATGCTGGCAGTTGCTGTATCCCATTCCCAAACCCAGGCCTGAGCCGAATGACACGGGCCACGTTCGACCTGGTGGGAAGAGGCAAAGAAAGACAAATATAGTCACATCTGCTTGCTAAAATAAGAGCAGAACAACTTATTAAACTTACGTTTGAAGAAGAGGACGGAGAACACTATGCCAACACCGATGCCTGTCACTGCAAAACATAAAAAAATAAGGGAAAATTAAGAAAATTAAAATCAAGAGACTGATAGAAAGACATTTGACCCCTTGTTTAGAGGGCAATGTGACCACATTTTATAAAGTAAAAACTTAGCTGGAAAACCTGAAAACAGAAATATTCCATCCCCTCAAATGTATTTAGATCCTTAGTTTTTTGTAATAGACCAACATATAGTAGTGCAGAAATTGTAAAGTGGAACAAACAGAATACTTGTTTTCTAAATAAGTATTTAATTGGAAATATAGATTGAAACATGGGATGATCTATATTTTTTGGGGGAAAAGGGGCACCCTCTACGGGTGTCGTAGTGTAATTGCAGGGGGTGCAGTATAAAATGAATTGGGAAAAAAAATTACCTAGTTTGAATTTATATATATATATATATTTTTAATTTTTATTATTTATTTTTAGCAATGTTGAGATATTTTGCAAAGTAGAATACCTAAAAACACTTTAAATGTGGTAGTTTTAGTGATTTAAAGTAGATTTTAGCCTATTTTACTGTAATATTTAATTCACTGCTGTTGACTTGTTCAACAGTTGAAAATGTTGGGGCAGGGTCAGAGATTGAGGGGAAAAAAAAGAAACAAAATAACTTTCTTGTAAACAAAAAGTGGGGCCGTAGCTGCATCTTTAATCTTTAGTTTTATTTGTTAGTAGATTTTTTTGTCATTACGTCTAACATTTGGTTCATTGTTGTAATTTTTATCACATAAATGGAGGAAGAAAAACTAATATCAGCTCTAAGATTTGACCCCCCAAAAAATCGGCAGCACATATCGAGGGTTGGATAGACGGATGTCAAAATAAAGCAGCCTTTATACAACCTGTATGGGTTTATCTCTAAATGGAAAAATATAGTATGTTTGTAAACTGACCATGGAGTCTTCAAGCTCAATAGCTGGATGACAAAAAAAGGACATGTTTGAGGTGATGTGCAGTTGGTGGAGGCATCATAATGTGGTGATGGAGGCAGAATCATACTGGGGAGAGTTTTGTTTTCTATTTTTATTCAGCACGCTCAGGAGAGCTGCACAGGGTTGATGAGTAGATGACAGGAGCCAAACAGGGTAACCCTGGAGATGCTGAGACTGGGTCAGTCCTCCATCTGCAGCCACCGCTACAAAGGAAGGTTTAAACCACTGCATGTTCTATGTTTACTTAGTTATGGATTGCAATAACAGCAAGTTCTTGTACAAAGCTACAGAAAAGCATCCCCGCAGCATGATGCTGCCACCTCCATACTTTACAGAGATTTAAACCAATGAATCAAGTAGGCTGATTACAACTGGATGCTGCAGAGTTCATATTTGTATTTCTAATAATCCTTAAAAAAGAAAAATACACTCTACAATTCAACCCCTATAATTATGATATTTTTACTAGGCCAAGCACATCAAATATGTTCATGTTTGTGGGTCTGCAGAGCATGGAGGATCTGTTGCTAAATGTAGTTTGTGGAACGTAAAGAGGAAACTAACAGATACAGAACCGGATCATACAGAGTGTGAAACTGGGCTGCAGAGGGCCAATAAAGGTCCGGCCATCTGTAGCAGCCAGTGAGGGGTTATTAGTTAGAATGTGCTTGTGTGTTAAGTTTCACCTCACTGCGGGCCGTACCACACCCTACAGCGGGCCGGCCAACACACAAAACATAAAAAAGCCATTTGAGCCCCTGTGGCTCCTAATTGGATACAGAGAACTATGCAGCATGACCAACGTGCCTTAACCAGAACCCTCAGACTGCTTCTTATTACACAGTTTACACATGTCAAACAAGACCACAGAAACCCCAACTCATCTTTATTATCAGTACACATCAACAACAACTTTCCTTGCATTTCAAGCAATGACTCAGTTAAAGTCTAAGACTTTCCATCTGGTAAAGTCCAAGTGCTTCTTTGCTTTTCAGCCAAAACCTTTCTGAAGCCTCTGGTTTTTCCACTGCCAGGGATACAATGAAAGCTTTTGGGGGGAAAATGAGAGGGTAGATCAATATCTCATTCTGGCATCTTTTCTTTTGTCTGGATTTCTCCTCGGGGACTGGATTATAACAAAAACATTCGTACATGAATCCGGCGAAATGTATAACCCCCACAGACCTTAAAAGACTTGTTGGGCTTTTCCAGCAAATGAAGTCCAGGACTGTTTAATTGCACTGTTATTCATTGTTGGGATTATTTTTAGCAAAAGACTTCAAAAACGCAGTCCTTTTCAATTGTTGTGATTGAATGCTGCACCTCCAACCCTAACCCCGACTGTTTGGCTCTGGCAAATGTTTCTGCTCCACAATGTTGTTTTATTTAACTAATACCATGACTTCAAATTCCTTTTTCTTTTTCACTCATAAGTTGTATTTATACCATTCTTGACACACAACAGAAACTTTGCTAAGCAATTAACTTGAAACAAAATGTGGATATATTTATGGGATGTATTATGGGTATTAACAGTTTTTAAAAGAAGCTCCATTAATGAGAAAAATAATTGATTGGTTCACTAATGTTGGTGTTCTGTTATACCGACCCACCTAAACAGAAAGTTGAGCTTATTTGCAAAATATAAAATACACATGGAGTATTTAAACATCCACCCATCACCTCCTGCTTATTCCGTCAGGGTCGCTGTCAGACCGCTTCCTATCTCTGGCAATCTATGGACGAGAGGCAAGCACAGCCTGGACAGGCCGACCGGTCTGTCGCAGGGCAACACAGAGACCGACAACCACACGCACACACTCACACCTAAGGTCAATTTAGAGAAGCCAATTAACCTAACAGTAATGTTTTTGGACTGTGGAAGGAAGCCGGAGTACCCGGAGAGAACCCACGCATGCAAAGGGAGAACATGCAAACCCCATGCAGAAAAATAGGCCAGGATTCGAACCCTAAACTTTCTTGCTGCGGTGCTACAAACTGCGCCACCATGCAGCGTGTTTAAACATATCAAATCAACATTATAAGGATCTGATCAGGATTTAAAACACTACTGCTGCCAAGAGGTTGTTATTAAGATTTAGGTTTAAAGTAATCATTTAATTTGACTTACAAGTTTCTTCTGACTGGAAGTAATACTGACATTAATTTAGGGCTCGCTCATCACCAAAGAAACAACCAAAATATCAAAGAAAACATAAAATCTGTTCAGAAATTACAAGAAAGGGGTGATTTCATTTATTTCCTGATTATAGATTCTATTTAAATGCAAAACAAAACAGTTACTAAATGAACCCTTTTCTGAGCAAGAATTGTTTTAGTTTTTCTACATTTTCTGCTCACACATTCACAGCATCACAGTTTAGTATTTTTTGAAAGTGTTGTTCCAGGGGGAACATTTAACAAGCTGCTCTAAGCTCCAAATCCGTATGGATGTATTTGTTTTATTTGGTAGGTGAAGGTCAGATTCGGCTCTCATACAAAACCAGACTGTGAGCATGTAATGTAAAACACTAATGTTCCCATTATGGTGCGTGATAATGACATCTTTGATGCAATAAAAGCTTGTGTTTATAAGTGAAAACAACCCAGCTGCTTTGTGGCATTTCTGTGAGCTCAGTGAACAAAGCTGTCGGTGGTGCCAAGGTGTCTGCTTGCCAGAGAAAATCTTCAGCATATGTTCAGCTCGAGGTGCAGCACAACAAAAGCTCTGTAACTTTCCATAACCGTGGAGTCCTACAGCCTTGGCAACTTTTTTTTTTCCTTTGGAATATGTAAATAGGTTAGCAGCTCATTTCTCTTAAAACCTTCAGATGATTTAGAGCCATTCTTCTGAATATGAAATCCAATATGTCATCATACCAGAGAGGAATGGTGAGTTTTCCTGCAAAGGATCCATTAATATGCTTCGCTGCCAAACAACAGACCTGCAACTGACCTGCTTTACTTGTCTCTAAGAGTCAGAATTGACCGCAGAATCAGAATGAAAAACCAGTTTTACAAGCTGCAAGCCTATTTAATCTCTCTGGTTTGGCCAATTAGCTTCATCACCTTTTTAACAGGAAACAAGTGGGTTGGCTGAAGCTGTTATTTTAAACCTAGCTAGCATAAAAATACCTAGCAAACAATGACTCAATCCAGATACCTCTAATTATAGCTCCTACCTCCTTTTCCTCACTTCTTAACAGAAAGAACACTATCCGGGGCAGGGAGGAAGCTACAGCCTACGGCTATTGTTACACAGCAAACGCGCACATGAATGACATCGTCCAGTTCGGCCTGCAGCCTTCTGGAAAATAACTACAAAAAGCACAAAGTTATAAAAATGTAGCATACAGTTGAAGCTTTACGTAAAAAACAAAACCAAACACAAAACATAGGAAGGTGTGTAGGTTAGCATGTGTCACATACAATACATTTGAAGAATTGATGCATTTTTTGCATACAAAGGGATGTCAGGAAGTCACTATGCTGAATGAATTAGCACTAGTAGTCATCCTGCTTCCTGTTCCTCGCTCCTTCCTTCCTTCCTGCACTATTAGGATAGCACTTACTATGGTGGTTACAGGTTAACTTTAACGTTTTTAGGTATACAAATCGAAACCACTATCATACAAGCCATTCAGAGAAAGCAATGCACTAGTTTCACAAGATGTCATTGCAGTTAATTAGTTCAGGTTATCCAATGCAATTCTTTGACTTTGCACATTTAGTGTAGAGCACTGAGGCTGAGCAATGCAGTCTGCACCACACCTCTGCTGTGCGACAGATTTGAGTTATGGATGTGGCTCGAGGATGATGCATTTCACCCATTCGTGCCTGCGTATCTTACACACACATTACTTTTTTGGCCCTTAAGAATCTATTCCAGATAATCATTCGTCTCCTGACCTGCTTCAAATATGGTTGACATGATACAAACTTAAAGCTACATTCATGAAGCTATATATATATATATATATATATATANAAAAAAAAAAAAAAATCATCGTCTTTATGATGTCTGGCTGATCATGACTGATCTCACGTTGCTGCGTTTAATGCATCTGTTCTGCCAAACCAGCCCAGATCATCACCCCTCTGCCTCTGCAGCTCCAGCAGCTGATAAAACGCGATGTGATGATTTGTTTTGTTTGGCCTTTTCAAGCCCGTCTCACTAGATTTGTTATGAAACACCTTCTGTGGTGTCATCAGTCTAAATGACATCAGTCCACACGTCGTGTTTATTTTTATGTAGCTTTACAACGTAATGATATTTTATCTGTTTTCAAATGTGCAATTTTTTCCCCATCAGTTTCTCAAAGCAGTCCACATTTTTCATGTTTTTTTTTTTCTTAGTGCCTAACCATGTGCTTGACTATCAGCCATTTTTTTTTTTTTTTTTTTTTTTTTTTATGTAGCTCATGTTTAATCCATTAGCACTTTCTTTAAGGATAATCCAGTCCAACCTCAATGTTGTCTTGCTGTGGGGCTTTTTTCTTAAGGAAAATAATAATAACTGGGAACTTGATTCAATGTTTAATCTTTTTATTTATGATTGGTTCTGAAGTGATTAGTGGATCAATACTAAAACACTAAAACCAGAAAGTCTCACCATTCTCAGTCTGTAGCAGTATAAGCACCTATTTTATTTTATAAAGTGAAGGTGAGGGCCATTTTGTTTGATGGTTAATTGGGTTGATAGTATTTCTCTCCTTTCCTGTTAAAATCAAAACTTCTACCTCAATTAAGAAAGCTGTTGACCATTTGTTTTGTTTATGTTTGTGTTGTCCCCAACAAAACAACCTGAATTAGTTTCAAATCTTAATTAAAAGTTAAGATCTTAACCGAATCCCCTCCTGATTAAAAAGCAGCTGAATGAATGTCATATTTGAAATCTTGCTGTTATTCTGAGAGTAAGAATCGGTCATTTTAACATGTGCTGATGTATTAAACAGTGGAGCTAATTGAGTTGATCTTATTCTCCCATGGCATCAGCTAAGAATCGAATTACATATGTAGGTATAAAATGAATTAAACAAAATGCTTTCGTCAGATCTAGGATAATACAGTTAGAAGCAGATTAATATTAAAACATAGCTTGCATCTAAATGAGAACATGTTTATTATCAATAGGAATAGGAACAAATATAAATGTAATTTAAACAACACTAGTTAACGACGAAAGGACGACAAAACCAGACCAGTAAATATATATAACATAATAAAAATTAAAGCGTATATTTCCATATATTACTTCACTCTGTAATCCAGTTTTGGGTGGTTCTAATGATAGGAAGTATGGAGGATTTACTGTCTATCCGCCTCCAATCCTTGTTAGAAACATAGGTACATATTTTTTAATATTACCACAATTTCTTTTCAGTGACATTATTAGAAGTTGTTTATCACAGATTTCTTTAAATAAATCCATTGATGTTTTCATTCATTCTGCTTTGACCTTAGAAAAAAATAAACAGTTCAAGCATGGCCAGACTGCAACTCGCTTAAAAAGACCTCAGTTACACCCCAAGACGTTTTTTTTTTAATGGTAATGGAAAATCTACGGCAGCAGCAAAGCATGGCATCACATTAAAGAAGAGATTTAACCTGTTTTCACGGCTGTGTCAGCAAGACAGCGATCCCACTTTCGCCCGTACTCGGCTGCCATGTTTCCGGATGTGTCAGAGAGCCACGAGAATCTCGCGAGAGCGACATGAATTACCGTAATTTATAAAGCTTCATTCGACCTGAATGTACACTATAACCTTTTTGTTTTTAAATAGATGACAAGATAATCTAACTTTTTTGCTTTTGATAATTTTAAAAAACAACCTTGTTTTTCTTTGCTATTGGCTATATCTATTAACATTTCCAAGAAATCCTACCAAGGACAAAAGAGTAAATTATATTTTTAATTAGAAAGAGGAGGAATGTTTATATAACTCTAAAATCAAATGTTGTGATATATCCCTGACTTTAAAGTTAAAAATAAAGCAAAGCAACGAAGCAAAAACATTTGTTTACTGATTTTTAGTTGTTTTATTTTATCCTTCTCTCAAGATTTCTGTGTTGAGATGAGGTAAATATTTTTTAAATAATCGTTTATTAATTGTTAATTCGTTTATGGTTCCTATGATCTTTATTCTGTAGCCTGTTCCTGATTATTTATTTATTCCGTAGGATAGTGTTATTGTATAAGTGGGCCAATTAGAGAACTTTTGTCATGTTCTTCATATTCCAGTGTTTGGGGTCATTTGGATCTGCACTGTCATTGACGCAAGACTTTATGGATTTAAATAAAATGAAATTGATTTTATAAACCAGCTTTAAAATCCATGTAATAAGGCTTAATTTTTTAATCAAACTATTTTCAACTCAGTTAGACTGACATTCCAAGATCTAGGAGCCTTCTTTTGAGCTATATGGTACACACCATCATAGCCCTCTGCAAACAAACGCTGTGCTCTGTTTACATATAGAGTCAGATGTCAGAACAGCAACCAGGAAACAAACTAAGCAGCTGCTTAGGTTCCCAAACCATCACTAACCTCCCATAAATGCATGGATTTTAGATAGAATAATCTTCATTATTTGGTTGTTGTATTGGCATAAATATAGTCCGGCACTTCCAATTTTATTTTTTCATCCATGACTGCTTTCATCTAAACTCAGCAGTTTTTGAGCTGGGTCCCTATGATAGCTGAGAATAACATTGTCACTGATGTTTTGATAACTGTTGCTAGCCTGGTCACTGGGCAGACAGTTAGCAAATCAGTCTGATTCAAATGCCCTTCCACTGGAAAATAGCTGTGCAGGATTTCCTAGAGAGATCTGGGTCCCACTTTTCAGGATCACCCATTGATTTCGATGTCAAAGGTGAGCTGCAAGTAGATCTCATCTAGACATTAGCCAGTGCTTAGTGTTTTTGACCAATATGTTTCATTTAGATTTAGACCAACCAAACTATCTGGTTGGCAAGTGTTTTGTTGTCCATCCTCAGTAATTAGATTTGATTACATGTAAGTGGAGCAAATTATACAGCAAAAAATGTTAAGGATGTTAACGTTTTCCCCACTTTGGTTTACAAGAAAGTTTTCGTTCCTCCCCAACCTTTTTAATAATATAAAAAACTATATCTCCAATAGAAAATAAAAATCATCTTAAAAGTGTTATTACTTAACTTTAAATGTGTATTTTACTGTGCAAAAGAATTAAACTTGAATATATGACCCATTTTTAGAGGCATTAAAAAATGTTGTTGGCTGTGGTACACTTTTTTCTTGGAGGCACAGAGAAAAAGAATAATAACCAAAAAAATTTACAAAACTAGAGCCCAAAACTAAGAGCGCATTGTTTATTTTACTAATTTAGCCACAAAGCCAATGTTGCACACCTATAATCTAACAGATCAAAACTATTGTGCTATATTAGTGCGGCTGAAGTTTAAAGCTGACAGTAATTTCTAAATAATTGTCAAAACAAATAGTCTAGGAAAGTACGGAAGAGGATTAAGGCCATTGAAAATGTAAAAAAAGTTAACTTATTTTCACATTTTATTTCAGTATAATATTAGAAAAAAAGTCAGAAATTTGACTTTAATCTCAGAATTCTGACTTTTTTCTCAGAATTCTGACTTTAATCTCAGAATTCTGACTTTAATCTTTTCTGAGATTAAAGTCAGAATTGTGAGATTAAGGTAAGGATTCTGAGATAAAGTCAGAATTCTGAGATTAAAGTCAAAATTCTGAGATTAAAGTAAGAATTCTGAGATTAAAGTCAGAATTCTGAGATTGAAGTAAGAATTCTGAGATAAAGTCAGAATTCTGAGATTAAAGTAAGAATTTTGAGATTAAAGTCAGAGTTCTGAGTTCTATTGAAATAGGATCTAAAAAAAAGTTAACTTTTTTTGTATTTTTTCAGTGGCCCTAATCCTCTTCCGTAAGGCAAGATATTAAATTCCTCCAAGGGAAAAACAGTCTCTAATTTCATTTCATGTAATTATAAGATTCTACTTTATAGTTACAGTGCAAAAATAAATCTAAAATATATTTATTTTTAAAATAAGTGCATTTGCTCTTAATTTGAGCAGGTAAATAAGATGATTTGTCAAACTGTTCCTAATCCTAAAATAAGATGGACATTATACATTTGAAATAAGTTAAAGGAGATATGTTTTTCTTATATCAAATTATCGTGCATACCTGCTTAAATATAGGGAAAATAAACTTACTTTAAAAAAAATGGGCCTCTTAATATATTTTTACTTTTGCCATGTGATTCCAGTACAGGGGTCAGGACCAATTTACAGGCGCATTGGCCCCTATTGGCCCCTGTCTAGTCTACCTGTAGACTATCAATGGAGACTTTTGGACACGTTTGGTTTTCTTTCAACCTTACAGACACATGAAATTGCCATTTTACATTTTCCGACTCTTTCAGGTCAATCATTTAGGTTCCAATCATCCTTTCCCCCATGTAAACACACTATAGTAGCTGTTTGGAGTGAGCATCTATCTGCCGCCCTCTGTGTCCGCATACTTGCTGCTCAGCGGCTCTTTCCATACTTGGCAATGCCTTTCTCGCTCCTTCGCTATTGGCTGCTGCGCGTAGAGCTCCTAGTGACCCGGAGGTAGAAGCGAGGCCTGCTGTTTTCTCACCACAGCCTCCTTCCTGTAGCCCGGTTGAGGAAGTGAATTTCGCTGACAGGGCTGGGTTCAGTGAGGGAGAGGCGAATAATACACCTTCCACGGGGGGAAACTAAAACAAATAAAAAGAAAAGAATAAAAGCCGAGAGGAGCCCGGTGTATCCGAACAGCGAAGCTAAGGTGTCCGGCCATTGGTGAAACAGTTCCCCGCAGAGACCGTCGCAGACATGGTAAGGGCCGTGCTAACGCTGCTGGGAAGCGGGGAAATGGGTGATAGGATGGGCTCCTGGTTGGAGAACACAAGCTCTCTGAATTCCTGGAAGTACTGGTTGGTAACCTGAGAACAAAACCCCATTGAGGTGTCTAACTCATAGCGAAAAGGTATCTGTTTAATTTGTGGCTAACGCAGCTAATTGTATATCTTCCTGCTAGTTAGCCACCTGCTAACAGCGAAGCTAGTTGCCCCGTAGGCGCAGAGTTAGCACAGGATGTTTTGGATTTGACACAAGTTTGTTAACGACAGCGGTGGAGAGTCCTAATATAGCTCTAATACAATCCCTGCAGCCTTTAAGGCAGCCCTAAATAGCAGAGCGTCGGTTTCCCTGCTGCTAAAATAAAACTGCTGGCTCTTCCTTTTCTAAACCATGACAAGCTGGTAGCTCCTCTACTAGAGTTCCCTGCTTTTAAGCTCATTTAAACGTCTGTTTCCTAGTAAAAATGCAGCCCAGTTTATAACCTGTGACCAACCAATTGCCCCTTTTGGTAGTTACATTTTAGGCAGATACATTAATCTAACTCTTAACTTAAATTGTATTCAGAGTTAAGCAGGAATTCATTAAATGCAGCCCTGGTTAAACATGGGATTGTTGAGATATACAAATAGACATTAAGACAGACATTAAGCATTAATTAAGAAGAAGTTGTAGCCCAATTAAAGTTAAAATTTGGATCCCTCTGACAGGCAGTATCAGCATTTTTGTTCTCACACAACTAAACAGTCCTTACAGTTAACACAACAAAAACAAAACCTCAATACAGTTAAAAACAGTAAAAAAAGAAAATCAGTAGGATCTATAAAAAGATAAGAATTGCATCTATCAAGAATGATTAAATACAGGTTAGATGGGACCTTTTGACTGTTTTTCTTTAAAAAAAAAAAAAAAAAAAAAAAAACCACTAATCAGTCCATCTACTAAAGTTTTTTAATTGGCCATTTTGGTGAGTGTCTTTACTTTCACACAATTTAAAGGTTAGGGACATTTGCTTTAACACTGAATCTGGAAAACTTATAATTTCTAAATATCTATTGATATTTTCCTTTTTTTATTTTTAACAAGGTGTAGAAAATTTAATCTGGTTCAATCTGCAGGTTAACCTTAAAATAAATCTGAAATCATGTATGAAATGGAAAGATCTAAGCTTTGAACTCCTAGAATACATAGTTGTATTTTTTGCCAGATTTGTGGTAAACTATGTGTGAATCATGTGTTTATGCTTCTCTTTAACCACACCTTATACTTCTGACTCCAAACCTTTTTAGATCTTTTCCATGCTGTGGAGTCTGAATCTTCCAACCCTTTATTAAGAAATATGAAAAGCCAAAAGGCAACAAGGTCTCTGGATCTTTTAAACCAGGAATGTCAAACTAGTTCCAGAAAGAGCCATGTAGCTTTAGGTTTTCTTTCCAACCAAACAATAGCAAACCAGACTCCAGTCATCTCATCAAGTGAGTCCAGTCTTTACATGATGACTTGATGAGACGAATGGAGTCTGGTGTGCTATTGCTTATTGGAAAGAAAACCTGCAGCCACAAGGCCTTTTCTGGAACCACTTTGACATTCCTGTTTTAAACATTCTACATTAGGGGTGCTCAAGTCCAGTCCTCAAAAGTAACTTCGATTACATTCACACTGCAGGCCTCGATGCTAAATACCTATTTTTTTTGTGAAATCCGTTTTTTTTTGTGTGTGTTGCCGTTCACATTTCCAAATATATGCGACTAGTATGTTATCTCCTGTGTGAACTGCATTCATACAGCTTAAGTGTCCCGCATGCGCAGTAGACGATACAATGATGTTACAAGCCAGCGTGCTTTTTGTTTATGGAAGTAAACATGGATGTAGTGCTGCAGCGCATCTAGCAATCTTTCCAAACCTTAAAACCTCTATCTTTTCAAGATGGTAAAAAAAAAATTACTGCTCTCCGCATCATCATCCTACTTGGTTTTTGTTTTTCTTGCCGCTTCTGTGTAGCAAGAAGCAGAATAGTGACCTATGTTGGTTATAAATCGCGTTTAGGTTGGATGAATGCAACCTGGCCGTTCACACACACCGCAATTGAAAAGATCAGATTCGTATCGGATTCAGGACCACATAGCCAAGTAGCCTGGGTTGGATTGGAAAAAGTCGGATCTGTGTTGTTCAGATTACCATGAAAAGATCAGATTCAGGTCGCATCTGGGGAAAAAAATCTTGGGTCACTTCAGGTTACAGTGTGAACGTAGCCTTAGATGCATCCCTTCTCTTAACACACCCGAATCTAAAGGTTTAATCCCCTTATTTAGCTCAGCAGAGGCATGTTAATGAGCCACTCATTTGATTCAGATGTGTCAAAAATGGGGTTCATCAAAAAGCTTCAGGATGGGCTTGCAGGTGGCGCATTGGTTAGTGCGCATGACCCGTGTACGGAGTCCTTAGTCCTTGACACGCCCGACCCGGGTTCGAATCTGGTCGTGGTCTTTTGCCGCATGTCTCTCCCCCCTTCTCATACCCACTTTCCTGTCAGCCTACTTTCAGAAAAACGAGCCACTAGTGCCGTAAAAACTCAAAAAAAAAAAAAAAAGCTGCAGGACAGTAGCTCCTGGGGACTGGACTTGAGCACCCCGGTAAACCTAATGCATGGAACTCTGATGAAAACACTTGTAAAAGAAATGTTCATGTCCATTTGCCGGTAAATGGTTGACTGGTCACACAAGGGTTTTTGCTAAGATCTAAGCCAGAACATGCTGAATTTAATATATCGTTTATTTCCAAAACAGCAATGTAGAATTGTGTACTTGTTTTGTATGAGCCAACTTCTTTTGTTTTTCATTTATGAATTTCCCGAGTTTATTTTTCACATCATACGATATTTACACATGTTTTATACTGTGTTTCTGTTAGTTTAAAAAGCAGTTACACACAAACATAAAGAGAACAGCATCCTTTTTGTATTTCCCAATATAGAAGCGTAACCTTTCTGTAATTTGTAATGTTGGGTCTTGGTAAACAACCCAACTGAAAAATACTCCTTAGGCTCAGATCTTTATTCTAGTCACAATGGTCAATTTAAGTTATTCAAAATTAAAAATATATATAAAAAAAAGAATTACAGTTAATATTTTATTTTTCAGCAAGTAGGACTTTAAAATAAACCTCACTACTTTTGTTTTACATCACTGGTGTATGGAAGACATTGCCATAGGAGAGATAACATGCTAGCCCTTTCTTTTCATTGTTTTTAAATGGCAGAGGAAAAGTTTTCTGATAAAACCACAAACAAAGTAGTGTAAATAAAGGTGTTAAAGGTGAGTCTATATATGACACAAATATGTGGTAATTCAGGTCTTTTTGCCCATACCAAACCTTCATGTAACGCCCAGCTTGTGGATTTTTTCAAACAAAAGTACCCCCTCTTTAGTACATCAGTGTAAACTAAACGCTGCTGTGCATGAGAGAAGAGCAGCTGGTATTTCTCCAGAGTCACCCTCTCTCCTTGGTCTCACCTCATCCATCCTACTCCGCCCTGACCTCGGGGGTTGTCTGCTGGTCTGATCGGTGTTTACAACATGACAGCAGTACTGGTAAATGCAGTGCTGAGGAATGCAGGTGTCATGTGAAGCAGACAGTCTCCTCAGGTGAGGGATTTTGGCAAGGATGGAGGTGACCTTAGAGGAGAGGCGTAGTGTGGGAAACTGTTGTGTTCAGTAAGCCTGAAGGAAATCTTTATACAGTGAGATCAGATAATGGAGTGATTAAGTTGGCTTTCTTAGCTTTCTTAACTTTAGGTCAAAAGATGTAGACTGATGTACTCTCTTTCCAAGTACAAAAGTTGAAAAGGTGATTGTTGATGTCTTTCCTTTAACATTTTATAATGGTCTTCGTTGAATCCTTTTCTTCACAATTGAAAGTTTCTGATACTTAAAATTAAGCTTTATCATTGTTGCAGGTAGTATATTGATTAATTGTAATTTATTCAAGTATGACCCAAGTCAAGGTTACCAGACATGTACACCAATGTGTGATAATAGCTGAATAAAATGTTTTACTGATAAAGATATACTAGGTATCAAATAAAAACTTGTGAAGCTGCTGTCACAAATTTTAGTACATCCTCCTACACTTTCCCCACAATTTCATGCTGTGGCTGCTCTGCTCTTCAATCTCATGACCTGCTCACTGCATGTTACGGGACAGAAAGCTCCCCTGGGGGGCAGATTGAACCGTTTAGTCCTGCATCTGGTGCGTGCTTTGTACAAGTCACTAATGTCTTCTTCATTCAGCTGTAACTTATTTGCTTGCTTTTTTACATTTCTCATATCATCAAGCTGCTACAGCAGATAAAGGCCATCACTTCAGGGACAGGCGCTGCTGATATTCGTAGGGCTTAAAGGTTTGGGTTGGATTGTTTAAACTATTGCTTTGCAATGGAATTAAAGTGTCTGACCAAGCGCTATGAGTGACTTAAATGGACAACTTGCACTTGCTATAGTCTTAAGTCATCCCTGATATCTTTTTTGTTTTGCTGTCAGGCAGGAAAGTTGTGCTCCTTTCACGCTTATGACCTTACCCAGATATTTGCTTGGCCAGGGTTGTGTGTGAAAAAAACAGAACCAATTTAGTGGTTGAAACTGACAGGACAATTTACCAGATCAAGAGCTAATATACATTAGACATGAATATGTATAACACCTGTTTGGGCGCTCGCTTGCACGTCAACATCACCGCCATATTGAATGTGACAAAGAGTAACACAATGGAGAGACAGCCAATCAGAAAGGATGCCTCATTCCTGCGCTGGATGGAAATGTACAGACCGTTTTACAGTCCAAACCAGATCTGCCAGCATTACCTGTCACTGATAAGAATGAATAAATATGCATAATATTATCTTCCTGTCCTTTAAAGGGCTCATTATGCTTGACACATGGACATTCTGCACGGAAAATGAGCCGTCCCTCACAGGGTCTGCA